TAAGAAGTATCTTAGTTAACATATTTGCTACATTATCACCAGCATGAACTTTCTTCAACAACATCTGCTGTTCTTCAATCACTAAACGTAACCAATAATATCTAACATCAATGGTTTTTGTTCTAACATGGTACATGGCATTCTTACTCAAATCTAAAGCACTCTGGCTATCACAAAATATTATATACTTTTTTTTATTTAATCTCAATTCAAGAAGAAAACGTTTCATCCAAAGCATTTTTTTACCTATTTTAGTTGCTGCAGTATACTCAGCCTTTGTAATTAATAAAGCAACATACTTCTGTAACTTAGACTACCAAGACACAACTCCTCCTGCAAAAGTGAACAAATGTCTTGAAGTAGATTTTCTACCATCAAGATCACATATCATGTCAACATCAGTAAATCCTTCTAGAACTGGTTGTGAAACTTCATAACTCAAGTACATTTTTAAGGTGCCCTTCAAATATCTGAAAATTCATTTTACTGCTTTTTAGTAAATTTTTTCCAAATTAGAAAAAAATTTGCTCGCTACACCAACTGCATGAGTAATATCAAGCCGTGTACAAATCATAAGATACATTTAAGAACTGACTGTAAAAGAATAAGAAATATTAAACATAGCGAATTATTTTTCCTTAGACATTAAACAAGATTTCTTACTCAAATAAAAATGATTGGCAAATAGATTGCTAATTGATTTAGCATAGTGCATGTTGAATCTACTAAGTACTCGTTTAACATACTTTTCCTGTGACAACCACAGTTTTTTAGCTTTCTTATCCTGGATAATATCCATACCGAGAATCTACTTTGCTAGACCTAAATCCTTTATATCAAAAAACTTAGATAATTGTTATTTCAACATGTAAATCATACTAGTATCTTGTCCCACAATCAACATATCATCAACATATAATAAATGAATAATGAAGTTATCATTATGAATTTTTTGACATACACACAAGGATTCGCTGTCGTTCTTTTATAATTGTGACTCATTATAAAAGAATCAAACTTCTTGTATCACTATCGCGAAACTTGTTTCAAGCCATATAAGCTTTTTTTCAATTTGCAAACTAAGTGTTATTTTTTTTTCACTTTAAAACCCTTAAGCTGATTCATATAAATGTTATCTTACAAGTCACCATACAAGAATTCAGTTTTAACATCAAGTTGCTTAAGCTCAAGATTCAAACTAGCTACTAATTCTAGTAGCACGCAAATGAAACTCATCTTCACAATTGGACCAAAGACCTTATCAAAATTGATGCCTGATTTCTAAGAAAAATCTTTTACCACCAATCGAGCTTTGTATCTTATTAATTTGTTACCATCATTTTTCAACTTGAACATCAATTTATTTTTTAATGGCCTCTTCTTTTTTGAAAGTTTAACAATATCATAAATACCATTTTTTTGCAATGACTCTATCTATTCTTTCATTACTTTTAACCAATGCTCTCTATCCGGAGTAGCTTACACATCTTTGAAGCTTTCCGGCTCTCCTTCACTTATAACTAAAATAAAATCTAAACTTAGATACATGGTAGACGGGCTACACTCTCTAGTGGATCTTCTGAGCTAAGACTCTATATCACTTGATATTGAAGGTAGCTCCTTCTACTTAATACTCTCTGGTGGAAAAGATTGTTCCATCTGTTCAAAACTGATTGTATTTGGCTCGTCACTAACTGTGGCTGGCTTATTCATTTCTTTACATTATGTTTCTTACTCATTTCCACCATTTGTAGCTATTTCTTGTAAAATTTCTGTCGGTATTGAAACAACACACTAATAGTAACCCGTGTAGTCTTCTCATTTTTCTCAAGATCTGTTATAATTTTTTTTTTATGAAAAATCACATCTTTGCTTTTGACTATCTTTCTCTTTACTAAATCTCATACTCTGTAGCCAAATTTCTTATCACCATATCCTATAAATACATATTGTATAGCTTTACTGTCAAGTTTTGACTTTTGTTCTTTCGACATATGCATAAATGCTTTACACTCAAAAATTTTTAAGTGAAAGTACGAGTATCTTTCCTTGTCCACACTTTTTCTAGAATGTCAAAGCCTAAAGAAACTTATGGTGACCTGTTAAGCAAATAACAAGTTATATTGATTGCTTCACCCCAAAATGGCTTTAGTAATTTTTTCATTCTCAACATACATCTAATTTTTTCACAATAGTGCGATTCATCTTTTTAGCTATACCATTATGCTGCGATGTTCTAAGTTCTGTCATCTCATGCCTGATCTCATACTTTAAACAAAACTCTTCAAAGTCTTTGGATATGTATTTTCTACCATTATAAATTCGAATATATTTCAAGGGCAACCTTGTTATCCTTTTAATCATGGTATGAAATTTATGAAAATACTGCAATACTTAGCTTTTGTACTTCAATATATACACCCAAATTTTATGTGAAGCATCATCAATAAAAGTAACAAAATACTTACTACCACTTAATGACTCAACCTCAATCGGATCACATAGGTCGGAATAAATCAATTACAATTTATTTTTTTCTTTGAGTACTCTTACGAAAAAAAACTCTATGATGTTTACCAAACAAATAATGATCACATGAATATAGAGACATACATTTGGTCAAGGGAATGAAAGATTATCTTACCAAAACCTGTAACCCCTTCTCGCTCATGTGTGTCAGTCTCTTATGCCACAAATTTGCTAAAACATCATCATCAATGGCATTTACCTGGTTGTCGTTCAATTGTATCCATGTCTTATACCTTGTGCAGTATAGTTTTCCCTTTGCAACTACCATAGATCTTTTGAGAAGCTTTCATTGCTTATTTTTTTGTCGACTCTCATATCCTTTCTTATCAAAGACATTAATAGTAAGTAAGTTCATTCTCATATCTGGAATGTATCTGACATCCATCAAAGTCAACATGTTACCTGTACTAGTTTGTAGAACAATATCACTAATCCTAACAATCTGTGACACACTCTTGTTTCTCATATTGGTGCAACTAAAGTCTCATGTTTTGTAAGTTGTAAACAACTCTCTTTTAGGAATACAATGATATGTCACTTTTGTATCAACTATTCATTCAATACTAAGATCTCCAACATGATTACAATCACCATGTGTACAAATCAAAATAACTAAATCACTATCTAAATTCATTGTTGTAATATTACCATCATCTGAACTCTTACATTTCTCATCTTTTCACTCTTACTTCAAGATTTTACAGTGTTGTTTTATATGACCTATCTTACCACAATGAAACACTTCACTTTATCTCTAGACTTGGATCTATATTTAGATTTACTACGACCTTTTGAGTTCGGACCTCTGTCGATGTTTCTACCCCTATTTTTTGTGACCAGAGCTTGATTTTCAAGGTCTACATCTTTTTGCCTTGCTTCTTCATTAAGCATATTGTCCTTTATCATCTCCAATGGCACCTTATAATCAGGAGCTAAATTAAAAATAATCACAACTAGAGTATTCTAGCTGTCTGGCAATGAACCCAAAAGAAACAATGCTTTTATTTCATTATCCATCTTAAGCTCTATAGTAGTCATCCGATTAAATATATCTTGAATGTCAATCAAGTGCTCTGTAATCGATCGTCTATCCCTGTATTGTAAAGTTATAAATTTTTTAACAAGCATTACTTTATTCATACTTTTTTTTCTCATACAATGCTATTAATTTTTTTCAAATAATGTGGGCAGCTGCCTCTTACGCTACATGATGAAAAACGCTGATATCAACCCATTTTCTTATTGTAGCCAGTATTTTTCTGCCTAACTTCCTTCAGCTTTCATCTTTCATATCTGTTAGTTTAGTTGAATCACCCAATACCAGCTTATACAAATATTTGTAGTATAAATGATCTTTTATCATAAGCTTCCAAATTTAATAATTTGATGCTGTCAATTTTATCATGAAACCTGTATCACCTTCCATGATCTCAAACAAAATTTACTTCTATCTTGGGTTGCTTCAGTATCGATGTCTCAAAATAACCCTCACTCTAATACCACTTGTTGGGCCTAAAGTAATAAACAAAACAATGCAGAAGCAATATATAACAATAAACCTACAGTAATAGATAACAATCAACAACGCAAGAAAAATAAAGTACACCAAGATTTACATAAAAAACCCTCCAATGTATAAGAAAAAATCACAGACCACCAGAAAATTCTTCACTATCAAATAATGGATATACAATGTTCTTCTCTAGCTAAAACTAGAGCTAATCAACAACTAGAGAGACAATTGAAGAAATCTCACCAAATAGGTGACTCAACAAATACACTATAAATTTGTTTCTAGAGAGCTTCAAACCTGATCTTCACCATTTAGAATGTAGACTCTAAATCATAAACATGCTGACAAAGTTTCAGCTCAATCGGACCACAATTGACTTCCGTTCAACCAACTCTCACTTCTCCTTTTTTTTCTCTGTTTTTCTTGACTTTTTTTATTTCTCTTTTTGGTTTGCGACACCACCTTAAAATAATCTCACATCTTTTTATTAAATAACTATGGCTTTATGTAAAAAGAAAGACCAAGGCTCATGGTCTTTACTTAATCCAAAACCAATTACATGGAACTTGACCCTATTTTCCTAACAGTTATTAGGATTTGATTTATTTCATTGTCAAAAATCAAAAGGAAAAGAGAGGGATTTAAACCTTGATACGAATAATTCACACAATGGATTAGCAATCCAATGATACAGTCTACTCAACCATCTCTCCTAATTGAGAAAAGATGATTACTATGTTAAAGCATGTTTGATATGAAACAAACATTATAAGAACATATAAATTGTCGAAGTCTAAAAAATATTATCCTTGCTAAAAGTAAAAACACCTGTAATTATAAACAAAATAGAAGATAGCAAAGCAACCATCCGCAGATTAATTCACAATTTTCTTCAAGAGAAAATACTTTCAAATTTATTTCTTTATTGAAGCCATATAACAATTGCATATTCTCTCATTTAATAGATTGATATCTGAAGTTTCTTTGACGCCTTGTTCAACTGTAGCAACATCTGAGCTCTTTCCCTATATAATTCCACATTGCCTCCATTGTCGTCTGTTTCCCTTGAAATGTAAATGTTCAGACGTTCCATTACACGTCCGAGGCCGATCAGGTATTGCAGCACCAGAAATTCATTCGCAGTTCCCTTGAAGCCCTTCACCTCCACCGTTTTTAAGCTACGACGTAGGCATTTGTAGACCTTCAAGTTCTTTGTCCAAAAATTATGAATGAACTCAAATGGGGGCTCGTAATCCTATAAATGATCAAAAGAAAGAAAAGTGTCAATATTTTCTCTAACAACGAGGTGATATGATACAAAAGAAGATACGAAAACGATATAATCTAAAATTTTAGCAAAAAATTATATATGAGATTAAAAACGTAAAAAATGTAAATTTGAAATTTAGTTCTATTGATTCACGCATTATGGCGGATTCAAAAATTTTTTTTGAGGATGTACACTTATAATATATCCAGAATTTTTTTTGAGGATATACACTTATAATATATGCACAAATTTTATGGATGAAATAGGTGTTTAGGACAAATTTTCTTTTAAATTTTTTTTTATTTTTCAATTTGTAAAGACATTCCAATAAATTTCTTGAGGGTCTCCAAAAAAAAACTTTTAATTTAAATTTTATTATTTTCTAATTTTAGAGGTGTCCATGGACACTCTCCCACAAAAGGTGGATTCAGTAATAGGTATCGAAGAATTGAATCTCAACACTTGTAATTTTTTTATTTTTATAAAAATATAAAAAAAAATGTGATTAAAAAGTTTATGCATTAACACGAATTTGACATATCAATTTTTCTTATTTTACAAGCATTCGACACAATACATTGTCAGATCTACAGGCCTGTTAAGATCGTTAAGGATTAAACGAGCAAAACCTAAAGATATCCTTAACCGTATTAACACATTGGTATAGATATACTCACCGGAAAATTTCTTGCAGGGCATAGCACAATTGTAAGAGTTTGTAGAAGTGGACAATTATCGAAGAAGAATGTTATTCCAGAAAACTCATGACCGTGCAGGGCAGTCTTCAACGTCAGATGCCTGACATTCAAAGGAAATGCAGTACCATAACTCTCTCTTGAATTAGAAATAACCTGGAAATTCAAGCACAAATAACAAATATGTTAATTCCAGCTGGTTTCATGGTTGATTGATTGCCCAAGAGATGAAATAAAAGTGAAAACATTGAAAGCAGACATGTTTATTGTCAGACATGAGTCCAAGAAACATAAAATGTTGTTCAAAATCTTGACTTAAAATGGCGGAATCAGTATCATTAAAGGGGTAAAATATATGTAAGATTCAAATAAATATTAGAAACTTATGAAGTTTTACACCAATTAATAAAACATAATTTAAACTCTGACAAATTAAAATACAATATTATGTTAATATTATATTTATAGAAAAAACGATACGAATGATACAATTTTAAATTTTAGTAAAATCATATATGGATTTAGAAAAACAAAAAATATATTTCATGTTTGGTGTCAACTTTAAACACAAATTGTGACACGTGTTAACAGATACACGAATTATCAGATCTTTCACGTGATCAAAAGAATTTTAAAGGAAAGATTGGATATCTAGTAACTTAATCTATCAAGTGCATTGAAATAGGAAACTAAAGGCAGTGGAAATTATCTTTCACTCCTTGGCCTAGTGGCAAAAAAAAACCTTAAAAAAGATGCTTGGGTTTGAATCAAGTCTCCCCCTCTCCCTTTGCGTTACCCTCTTTTGAACCAAAAATTAAAAAAAAAGGCAGTGGAAATTAAGGATGTGGATGAAAAGAAAAGGAAGAAACTCGATAGAAAGAATGGAATTGATAGTTATACCTGAAGCATGAAACTGCAAACACTCAAAATGGTTACGGAGAAAAGATCAAGCAGGAGATTATAAAGCAAATCAGCAGTTCCATTGAAACTTGACTCTAACCCGAAATCCAAATCTGCTTCTTCCCAGCAGCACAAGTAATCCAAATCAAAGCTGGCTACTTTCCCTGAATACTTGAAGAACTGCAGCCTTGGTGCATTTTTTATGTATATCCAAACAGGATCATGAAAACTGCAGTTTTCAATCGCCAATTTCTTCAACAGCAAACTTGGTTCAGACAGATAAAAATGGCCCATGTTCCAGCATTTGGTCAGACTCAAACTCTGTAGCAATGGACAGTGTTGCAACAAGGCCTTGAGAGATTTCTCTTGTAGTTCAATCCAACCAAGCGAAAGATCCTTCAGCAGACTGAAAATTTTGATGGCAGGAATGTGAATTTTACATGAAAACAGTTTCAATGATTCAAGAACTCCATGTTCATAGACATGGGAAGGCAAATCAAACAGGGGTTCATGGTTTTTTGGATCATCTTCCATCCAGGTTGGATCAGAAAAATCAAGACTGAGCCCTTTGACACCTTTTGCAATGGCAAATGCTATGAAATTTTCAATATCAGCAACGAAATTTTCAGGCTTGGAGACTGCGAGTGCAAACTTATCTATGCAGGATTCACAGTAGTTTCCAATCCACTGTTGAACGAAATGAATGAAAACTCTTCTTTTCATCACTTGGGTTGCATCAGATTCTTCAGGTTTAACAAAGAAACTCTCATGGAATTCTATGTTCTTTGTTGCACGCCAAAGGTTGAGCCAAAACTTGGATAATATGGAGGTTCTTGCTGCTTCCTTGAAAGGCAAGAATGAAATGATGATGTGGAGAAGACATTCGGGTAACACCTCGGACAAATCTTCGTTACCAGCCATGGCCATCTTGAGTTTCATAAAACTCTTTCGTACTTTTTGCTTGAATTGTTACTTAGATATACAATGTATCAAATATCAAACTCTTTGATAAATAAATATGATCATTTATTTATTTATTTATTTCTAAAAGATACCATTGTGCACTATATTAAATATTTGAAGAATAAATGGAAAAAAAATCCATTATTTCATCATAGTATAGTTATTACCATATTAAGTTATTATTTTTTGAAAATTTTTTGAAAAAAAAATTAACATATGATATATATATATAAGCCTATATGTCATCCATATGAACGGATAAAAATAATTATCAAAAATAATGAAAAAGGAAAGAGAATTAAAAGTAGAGAATACAGGTAGATAGTTACCAAAATTTTTTAATTTTAGTTTGTTTTTCGAAAAGGTATCATTAAGCACTATATTAAGTATTTAAAGAACAAAAAGAAAGAGAAAACTCGTTAGCTTATGGGAGTTTATAATTACTACCATATTAAGTTATTACTTTTCAAGAATTTTTCGAAGAAAATTAACATAATATATATATATATATCTACCTACATGTCATCATATGCGTAGATTAAAAAATTATCAAAAATAATGAGAAAGGAAAGAGAATTAAAAATAGAGAGCAGAGGTAAATAGTTACCAAAATTTTTTAATTTTAGGTTGTAAATGAAATCTTTACCTTTCTTTAGTTTCATAATCTATGGATACTGATAATCTTAAGGTCATTTCATTTCAGGAAGTTGAAGCAAATTTTATCATTGAATATTAAGTTTCAAAGATGAGTGAAAAATAGACGAGAAGATTTGCTCAATTGTTAGATGCCCGCCCTTTGTCTAGAATATTAATATTAGTAACTTAAACTTGTAAAAACATATCAAGTAATCAAACAATCTGTGTGCGTGCGTATGGCCCCATCAAGATGCCCTCACGGGCTCAACAAAGGTGACATGTCGAGGCTTTTCAAGTAGATTTAGACCTTCGTCTCGCGTGAAGCAGGCCTTCCCACATCGGGGAGGTTTGAGGTGTCTATGTATTTAGGGGATTCCCCATTAACCCAAAATAATCGGTTTTGGAATTAATTACATGCTCTGTCTCTGAACAAAAAAGGAAAATGCATAGAAGTGACAAACAAGCGAGTTTTGATAGAGTGATTAACTACTAAGCAAGGGCAAAACCCTGATTTTAGTAAACCATGTCATTTTCTTGGGTGGCATGACCATTTAAACAAGAAAATACAAGAGGGAGCAACCAAAATTTTCCTTTCTATCAAATCAATTATTTTCACTCATTATTGGCTAATAACACATAATGTACCATAAAAAGAAGATAGTACACGCAAAGTACAGGCATTGGCTACTTTCAAGAGAACATTAGCATATGCTAGCATGAACCGGATTAAATCCAACATCTAGTTCTACAATAAAACTTGTCAGTCTCAAATGAGGAAAAATGAGTACCACGATGACGTTCCTTGTATTTTGTAATAAATGCGTTGATAACAAATATATTCCCATTTCGGGAGCATGTTGAAGAGATGAGTTCATATGGGAGATGTGGCCTGCGAGTACCAGTCACTGGGAAGAGTTCTCGTGCAGTAGAACATACTCTCGGCTGCAGAAAACAAAACAAATGATTTAAACTTATCAATAGCAATGCACAAGAACCAGATATTTCAAGCAGACACAATTTCACAACTAGACCAGGGCATTAAGAGCTTGGCTAAAGCAACAACAATGAAACAATGACTTTCTCGCAAAAACACCAAGAACATCATGATGATGAAAAACAATAATAGCAGCATCAAAATGCTGTGTGATATCTAGAAAATGGCCAAAAACAGGGAAGCATTTATCAACCAATATCATAGTAGCTTGGTAGAACTGTTACTACAGTCTCTAAAGCATGTATGCATGCATGCATGCCTTGCACGCATAATGTCTCTAGGGCGTTGTCTAGATTACTTTCATTCCTATTATGCAACTAAAAATTACACACAGAATAGATTAGTGCCCTACCTACTATTACCAAATTTAATGGTGTCTTTCTCAAAAAGTTCATAATAACGTTGAGGTTCGATAGCATTGTCCTGCAAATGCAAAACAAAAATATTAGATTAAGTTATAGGAATCCAATCAAGTTTTAGCACAATTAAAAAAGATTTTGAGGTGAATTGCTTACATTAATAAAAGTTTTATTAGTGCTTCCAAGGTCCATTATATAAGGCCTACAAAGCAAAGGCAAAATAGAAAAAGATAAGAATTCATCAAGATTGCTCTTAGCCAACAGAAGTAATTCCAAATCAGCTAAGCCATACCTTACTTGCTTGGTTAACATACCATCAGGTTGCTCTTTCTCTACCTGCCTGATAGAGCAGAAACATCTAGTTAAACAATGTTCACAATAAAAGCAAAGAACAGAACTGCTAAGTATAAATACCGGAACTGAATGACAGCGTGTTGCTTGCTGCAGGATGGATGGTCTGTCGGTATGTCTGCTACTCGTCTTTCCCTCCCAAAAAGGTAACAGCTTTGGCGATGTATATAAAGGGGCTCTGTCAACCAGATGAATTAGAAAAAGAACCAAAAATCAAGGAAATAAGTTCCATGCTTTGTTGAATGGTCATTAACTTCTTTGCCCACATGAATTGCCAACATGATGAGAACAAGAAGCTCTAATCTTCAGGTTCCAATGCCATAGCAACAGTTATGTCCCTTAACATTAAAAAGTTTTTCTTGACTTCTGTGAGGATACGTAATCTTGAACATGACAAAATTTAAAACCGAAAGGTCCAACTCTGAAGTGCACCTCACTTCCACTAATAGATGGAGTTGAATTAACAATGATACTCATATTAATTTTGTATCAATGCTATATCGCTCTGATGATTGTTAGACATGTACATTTTTCAAAGGTGAAAGCCTGACAAACATTAGTGTGGTAAAAAGGGCAAACTGTAGAATGATAGGAAGTGAACACATGAAATAGGAAACAATCTCAGACTAACCATTTAGTACTTCACCAGCTTTGAAAACATAGAGTCGCCATCTTATATCAGGTTTTCGAGCATCCGGGGGTTCATTGAACAGCAGAGTCACTCCTCTAACTCTGTTCGTTTCTGCTGCAAGCTTTCCAGATAACTCAAATGTAGGTTTTTGCTGCAGGTTACAATGACAGAAAAGAAAAGATAAATTAAACATCAGGCATAAGATTTATCTAACTAGACAAGACAATATATGCTGCAGCCATGCACTAATTCTCAGAGTATAAAACAACAGAACCACAGGGTATCTTCTCATAAATTTGTTCTGAGGATACCAAGAATAATTTGGCACAATTATAAAACATGACAAATGAAAAGAAAGATAGCAAACAAGTTATTTGTTACCTTTTGTTTTGCTTCCAAGGCCTCCTCAGCTGCCTTCATCTTAGCGACAGAATCTTCATCATCCCTTCTTAGGAAAACAAAGCAACATATTGTTAGACACTATGTTAAAGAGGAAACCTAAAAAAGCAATTAAATTCAACAACATATTTTTACCCATATCTGGAGCAAGAAAGTAAATCATGTAGCAACTTTTATCATATAAAAAACAAAGGAATTCATAGATCATAAAACTATAAAGAATGCTCAGGGTAGAAATGGAGATTAGAAACAAAAACATGATTAGGCCTTCGTATAACCGCTTAAACTTTTAGGTTGAGTGATACTCTGATGTCAACAACCCCCTACAACAAAAAAATAATAATAAGGAAAGTGCAAAAATACCAACATGATTAAGAAAGCCAAGACGTTATCAAACGCTTAACACAAATCACTCTTTGCTGATAAAAGAATTTCTATATGCTATGCATATCCTGATTGAAGTTAAAAGAAGAAGATTAAGCTTAAGAAGCTGCTCGCCTTTGTTCAGCATCTCTTGAATTAGTCACCTGAAACAACAATTTTTTGTCAGACACTTCACATATACATCAATTCAAGATGATGAAAAACAGCAAATATTAGCTGAAGGTTATAACTGAAAATAAACATCCTCATCTCTGCTTATCGTGATTGCTAGCATGAGAATGCAAAAAAGTAGCTCTTCGTGCTCGTATGAATGATAGAAACTAAACAGAATAAAATAAACAAGCAAGAAATAAAGAGGATATCACCAGACACCTCATCACGAGCTCTTGAATTTGATGCAGGTGAGCGAGATCTATGCCTGCTCCTGTGGTGGCGATCAGATGGAGAAGCAGATCGCTCATGTCTTCCTCTACTAGACTTGCTATTAGTATCATCTCTTCCTGATCGTCTCTCCTTTCTGTCACCCCCCATTTCCCTCTCTGAAATCCTTTCCTTCCCTGAAGCTCTTTCCTTCTGTGTACTCTTCTCATTACCCCTGCTATGATTTCTCTCATACTCCCTCTCTTTAACTTTCTCAACCTCCTTTTCAGCCTGCGCTCTCCTCAACCTCTTTGTCTGGGGAGAGGGAGAGCGAGAAATGGGAGAGCATGGACTAGCATGCTTTGGAGACTTAACATCATCAGAACGTTTCTCTCTTTCCAAAGAATAATCCCTGTGAGAGATCCTGTGCCGAGAAGGATACTTTTCGCTTACAGGGGAGCTTCCTTTATGCGAACTCTTGTGTCTCCCCGGTGATCTTTCTCTATGAGATGGACTTCTCTTATGAGGAGACCCTTGCCTTCTACCTGGAGACTCTGAATGATTGGACGAACCGCGTCCCATTCTGTTACCAGTGCAAATTTAAGTACATGTTGAGACTTAAACATGTAATATAAATTTAGCAATTTGAGCAAAATTGTTCTATCCAAGATTCAGAAAAAAAATTGTATAAGGTTTCTCATGTCCTTTTCCTCAATCAAGTCAGCAATGTTAAAAACTTGGATTATTTTCATTGGGGCACTCAAGGAAAACAAACCAAGGAACCATAACTAAGTTTTTTTGGTTAAGCAGTAAGGGGTTCTTCCTTCTTAGGCTTTACCCCATACATCGCCTCTTTAGGTCGGTCCAAACAAACTTATCTATGTCGGGCCTAATGAGTTCATGAGAAATTACCTTCCTACAGCCACCTAACGGATTCGAACCAGGCAACAAAGAGAGTAACATGCTCTCTTTGCCACTTAGCCAACCATCTGTAGGTAACCATAGCTAAGTTTTGAGTCAAGATTAAAGAGTACCATTACCTAAGAATTAGAAAACAATTCGAACTCAGTTTCAAAAGAACTTGAACAACATCATCAAAGAACTTGAACAACATCAGAACAGCCTACAACAACAATGAAATGACAGCTAACCTTGAAAATTCACAAACATGGTACTAAAAACCTACACTAACAACATCCATAGCAAACACCTGGTCTGAAAGCTGAGAAAATGAATAAAGTTGAAACCAAAAAAAAAAAAAAGAAGAAAGAACTTTCTAAGGTAGAAACAATGAAGCATCAATCAACATTACAAAAATAACTTAAAATAAGAAACATGAAGAATACCCAGAGCGGGAAACCTCGAAATGTATGCAAAAAACAATAAATTATTGGAAAATAATGTAATGAGAAGTGGTTTTAGAACAAAAAAAAAAAACCCTGCTTGAACCCTAAGCTTCATCAAAGAGAAAATGAGAGTGAGAGTTTTAAAGGAAAAGGAATGCAAAAGGAAAACTTTCTTACCAGGAAAATTGGTTGAAGTTAATCTGTAGTAAGATTTCAGACACAGAAAAACAAGGGGAATAGAAATTGAAGCCTTCGATTTTACAAGGGTTTAGGAAATAGAGAGAAAGAGAGAGAGAAATAGGGAAAAGCCCATTAAGAAATCGAAGGCCCAAAATTTTCTAAGGCCCTCAGAGCCTAATAGTATGGCTAACACCTCAAATTTATAAGTAATAACGGATCAAATTAGATGGGATTTAATTAATTTTTTTTTATAATATATAAAATTATAAATTTTTAAATTTTGATTTGAATTTGAATTAAATTTTTATGATATTCGATTTAAACTTAACCGAATTTTACTTGTTTTGTTTATATTTTTTAAATTTAATTTTTTATTTATTATTTTAAAATAATTTTTAATAGATTTAAGTATAAAATAATTATTTTTAGTTTATAAAAATTTAAAATATATGTATAAGTTAATAAACATATATATATCGATGTGCTTAATTTTCTTTTTTTTGCATTTCAATCCAAAATTCAATCTAAATCTAATATATACATTTAATATCCAAACTTAATTCAAATCAAATAAAAAATATATATTCGAATAAAATCAAACACTATAATTTTAAATTAATTTTTAATTTTCTTAATTTTTTTTCTTACTCTAATAGAAATCTTAAATTTTACTCCTCAAATATATCTATTTGTTGCTTTATCTAATTTTCATTTAAAATAATAAAAGCATTATTTTAAAAGTTATTTTTTATTAAATTTAAAAATAAATTATATATTAATTATAATTTATTTTAAAATGTTACTTTAATATGTGTTAATAAACATTCGTTAATATTTTTATTTTATCTATTAAGATTAAGATAGATATAAATATATTTTATCTAGGATTGTTGATATTTATGGTGATTAATATTAGTTAATACTAAAATACATATCTGCATTATGTCACGAAAATAAGAATAATGATATTTTAAAAAATATGTAATATATTCAAAATAAACAAAATAATAAATGTTTATTTATATATTTTTTATCTAATGTATATCACTCTTAAAACAAATATAGTATTGAATGTTTTTTGTCTTAACAATATAAGATAAACAATGTACATATATCTAAGAAAAGTTTAGCATGCAAATATTAATAATAAAAATTTAATAACGGCCAATATCATCATCAACCAATATAAGATGCCAACTTGTAAAACAATTAAAATGGAAATCAAAATCAAAATTTCCAAAATACCTTCAAAGTGAGCTCATTCATCCTTACTTGGAAAACATTTGCCTTACTTGGAAAACATTTGAAATAAATTAAGTAATGAATGTTACTACCAAAGATAACTTACCAATCTCTTGCACCAAACACAAATTCATATTTTGAAAATTTTCATTTAAGGAATTCCAATGCATTGATAATTTATTGAAAAGATTCATATTGATAGATACAACAAAGTCAAAGTCTTATAAGTTTTATCTTTAAAATAATGATAGAAATTAAAAAAAAATAAAAAGCAACAAAATTTTTTTTAAGAAAATATAATGGTTTTGCTATTTTACAAGTTTATGTTAGACAATTTTACATATTAAACTTTTCCATGAAAAACATAATATAGTAAAGATTCATTAACCAAGCAATTTAAGTTATAGAGCATCATACCTTAATTTTGGATACAAGATTTCATTTCTAAAACTGATTTGCTACCTGTAAAAGTATTTAATACAATCAATGTATTATAAATTTAAAAAATACAATATTGAAGTGAGAATTAAATCAAGGGTTGTAGTTTTTCTGTTAAAAAAAAATGATAACTTGTACACAGATTAATGCAAAAATTGATGCCAAGATAAAAAATGAATCAAAACATCTATTATATAGATTAAACTCCCAAATAATCATCACCTGAAGGAAATTTAAAGCATGGCACTTGACTTGTTCATGTCATATTAACTAATAAATGGTAGCATTAGATCCATGCCAAGTCCAAATCTTCTAAAAGCACTGGGTTCAACATACTTCACCTTACCAAAATAGTAGATATGACATAAGAGCTTAGCCAGGAAAAGTGTTATGTCAAATTGTTAAGCTATCACACACAACTTTCACATGTTTGCACGCCCTTGTTTTGGCAACATTCATTTGCCTACCATCTCCAAAAATTTCGACAATTCTTAAAGTGTTTAACCATACATAAATTAGTAATGGGCATTCCACATTAGTCATAGTTAGATTAATCAAGCATTTCTATTAATAATGACATAATTTCAAGCAATCCATTATTGAAGTACTAATTTAGAAAACTTTATTAGGGCATATAAGGAAACTTAATATTCAAAATTCAATATATGTTTAATAATCACCATGAATTGAAGGTTACGTCTAAGAATATTTACCTCATAACAACATTTATTCCAATGAAGAACATTGTTTCCCAGCCATTCAAATTCATATTGTTTTTCAATTGTTTAGTCTCATAGGTTGGCATAACATATCTTGTTCTAGTGAGCATGTTTGGAGTCGAATTTTAGAATTATCAACCTCGAGTCACTCTTTATCCTTGAAACCAAAATAAGTAGTAGTGGTATAACATGTATTTTTTATGGTTTAAGTTTTTTACCACCAAATATAAATTTTTCATGACACTGATCTTCAGAAACCAGCAACTATACTGCAGAAATAAGCTCGTAATGATATGTAAGAGTATTTAAGAATTCAATAATTACCCAAATTCACCTTGGTTGATTACCAAAAATAAGATTATCAAAATTGTTAAGATATAAAAGTTCGCCATAATGAAAGATTTTTATATTCAAGTATGAGCTTAGAGATTTTCGTATAGGGAAAATTTACATGGAAAATAAAGGAAATAACAGAAACAAAATAAGCAGAATAGCACCAACTAAAGCAAAATTAATTTCTCTCTGAATTTAACTTACTTTAATTTGAATTAGTTCAACAAATTCTTTCCTTAAGCTTTGATATTTGTCCAGGTTACATGAAAAATTCCAAATACCTAATAACATCTTCAAGTGTCCATCTTATTATAGCAAGAACATAATTTCACTAAACCACTCTATACTGCTAATAATTCCATCAAACTATAGCTATAAAATTTTAAATAATAAACAAAAATAGATAAAGAACATGCAACTTGAAGAAAAAAATCTAGTAACAATTATAGATAGAAGAGAAAATTTTACAACCATGACTCATGAAATGCTACCACCTAACAAGATAAGCATTGAATTAAAGACAACTATTGAATCCTATAGGAAAACAGAGTTCACTTTTATCTTTTCATTAAAAACTAGCCAAGGATATGGAAAAATAAACTCCTAAACATTAACATATGTTAGCCTTGAATTTATCTTTATTTTGAAATGATAAAACATTAAGCTAAACAAGCTTGATCAAGATTTTGAAAAAGATTTATTTAGTATAACTTCTTAAGTTTTATTATTTTGGTACTAAATAAATAATATAATTTTCTAAGTTAAAACAAACATTTTTTATGTGTTCTTATTTCTCAAATCAAAGGTATCTTTAAACATTATTTATTTGATTTTAAATAGAAGTCCAATTGTTGATTTTAAAGTGAATTTATTCATTTTGGACTCAATACAATTTTGATAATATTAGTTTTGAGAAATAGATTAACTTAAGAAAGTTGTTTTATAAGAACAAAGTTTTTCAACATTTAGCTTGTTTTATTTTTTCATATTATTTCACAAAATTTTAATATTTGAATTTTATATGGTTGGAAAGCTCTTTGAGTTTACTTTCTAATGGATTAAACAAAATCAAAATCTAAAATTAAAAAAAAAAATTTAAATTTTTACTAGACACTTTGCAGTCATTTAAAAACTGCATAAATGATAAATTTAAAAATTCACTATAATTCGTATACAATGAATTAGGTAATGAATTTTATATCGATAGAAAGCCCTTTAAGTCTGGTTTCTAAATCTTCAAACAATTTTTAATTTGGATTCGTATAACTCAAGATATGATCAATTAGTGAATAGAATACAAAATAAGATATAACCAACCAGCTTGACCGGATTAATCCCCGGGTTACAAGATCGATCCCCTGGCTAAACCAATCGATCCCCTCTTATAATGGATAGATTGGTTTTGTTTACAGAAACAAAATGGATTTGAAAAACATCAAAATAGATTGATCTTCTACAAGAAATGATCGATCGGGTAAGGCACATGATAGATCCCCTACCAAAATCAATCGATCCCCTAAGCTATAATGGTAAAAAATAAAGTGAAATACATGAACCAATCTCCAAGAAGAGATCGATCTCCTATGCCCATAAACACTCCAATAGCTAGTTTATTAAGCTTAAACGGCTATTTTCTTCTTTTAAGCCATCTCCAACAATTAGTTGTTCAATTCTCTATATATAAAACACTCCAACACACCAAGAAGATTGATGAATTAAGAGAGTAAAATCAAACAAGTTATATTTCCATTCTCTCAAAAAAATCAAGAGTTTTAGAGTTTAAATTCAATATCATTTGTCTTTCTTGTATCTAAACTATTGTTGTGTTTCATTCACAATTTTCTTTATACTTCATTAGGCAAACACTCAACCTTGAAAGGTATTTAGTTTGCAAAAATCATTTAGGTTACCTTGTAAGTAAAATGTGAGATATCTTTTTAACTGTGTAAGGATAAAGGTTGTTATTTAAGCCTTAAGAAAAATATAATGATTTATTACATGATAAATTTGTATCTTGTAAAAGTTTTTTTTTAATTAGTAAATTAAATCTTTGATGTGGACAACTAAGAAGAAAAAATATAGGTGCATTAAGCAGAAAGATCGAACCTCTATAAATCATTGTGTTTGATTTTTCTATCCCTATCTCCTTACATTTATTATTGTTTATATTTCATTCTAGGTTCATTAATTATTATTGATTGCATTATGTTTTCATAAAAAATGCTTATTGATTTAATTCCTCATTCAGTTATCTTTAAATCATTGTTTGAAAAGAATTTAAAGAAATCTAATTTACCTTCTTTTGGATCACTATCTCACCTAAAAAGCCAACAACATAGTTTTATGAAACATAAATATACATTATCACATTAACACTAATATTGAAAAAAAACCAAGCATATTGGCTAACTCAATGAGAAG